CCTTTCTATAACATCAAGAAATGGTTAGATATTCTAGTCTTCTCGGATAGGGACGAATAAATGGAGGTCCCGTCTCCTGCAGGGTTGGGGTAGGAGACGTTAATTTCCCACACACGAGATTACTGTGTGATGGATGTCCTCCCCTGGGGTGGGATGGGTGGGATATTGGGCGCACTTAATTTGGAGCCTCGCTCTGTTGTGCGACCCTCACCATACTCTGGTGAAAGTGATTAAATAAATTAAATGTTTAGACATGTACAGAAAGTGGAGCTACGCTATTGGTGGGAACATGATGACGAGAAAAACAAAAATAATTTGGTAGAGTGAAAAGCCGGACGGACCGATACTCATGGTCTTAAAATAAGTGAGGAGAATTTGCTACTTTTCTATTATCAAGGAATGGATAGATATTCTAGTCTTCTCGGATAAGGACGAATAAACCGTAGGCCCCGTCTCCTGCAGGGTTAGGGGTAGGAGACGTTAATTTCCCACGCACGAGAATACTGTGATGTGGATGTCCTCCCTTGGGGTGGGATGGGTGGAAATTGGCCCTGAAAAGTCCCCATGGGGAGTGGTCAACTAACGTATGTATGTATGTATGTAAAAGCATTCGTTGATACCTATGTGATTAACAAAGTTGTTTATTCAGTTTCCCTTTCGCGCTTTTTTAGCATTTCAGTTTTTTAATCACTGATTGCGAAGCATCTCGATAACCCTATTAACATGTCCTCACCCTATTTCTGTTACTTCCTTCATTTCTTCGCAGCTACAGTTGAAAATATTTTTCTAGCTGTTGGTAACAATTTTTTTTAATTAAAATTTTCATTTGCACAGCTACCTTATGCAGCACCTCATGTTTGATAGTTTCTAACGCGACGGATATTTTTACTCTGGACTTTGAAACCTCTACTATCAACCCAGTTATATCGGGTTTAACAAGAGCTGTTGCGATTGATCTTTACTTCGATTTGGGCCTCGTGTTCTGGAGTGACGTCGCAGAACTCAGCATCAAACGTCTTGACATTAATACTGATAATAAAACCACGATTATCACCAAAATTGGAGTTTGCAATGGACTAGCTGTAGAATGGAGGAGTTCCCAGCTGTTTTGGACTGATAAAACAAATAACACCATATCCGTATCAGACCTGGATGGTAATAACCAACATGCCATAATTTCCGATGGTCTCGATTAACCTGGAGGGATTGCTTTGGATCCTGACAACAAGTTAGTGCTTGTCTGGAAATAAACCGAGCCTAACATTGTTGATAATGTAAATTGGCCACCATAAAGAGTTTAAAAGCCGATGTTTCGAGCGTTAGCCCTTCGTCAGCGCCAATGACGAAGGGCCAACGGTCGCAACGTCAACTTTTGGACTCTGTACGGTGGCCAGTTCACATCATCAACTCGGTTAGTAAAACCAAACTACTCTGTTACCTCCATCGACTCAGCACCACAGTTTCTTTAGAAACCTACCCCCTTTATCGAGCTGAACATAGATAACTTCGTCTGACATCCCAAAGAGTTTTTTCATCCTGTTATTGACGAAATAGGACTTTGCTACGCGCAATTTCAATTAAGCCAACCTTTAATCTGCCGTTATTGTGATCCGTTTTGTCTTTTGTTATCCCTCTCTTAGCGATTATATCTCAGATAAAAGCTCGGAAGGCTCTTTGCAAGTTAGTTGTTTGAGTGATTTGACTCAGACTACACACAATCCTCCATTTTTTGTGTTTTCCTTTTTTGTTGATTTCTCTCCTTGCTCTTTTGTGTTTAATTTTGTTTAGTTTTTTGTAGGTGTGGGAGGGGAGGGGGGAAGAAACAAGTTCGTTGGAGCTCAAGCCAGAAAATTATTTTATAATTTCTTTTTCTTCTCTGCCGTTCTACAGCTTTATGTTCTGGACTGATTGGGGAGTGAACCCAAAAATTGAAAGAGCTAACTTGAGTGGAAGCCAAAGAACAGCCATTGTAACAACGAATCTTTATCATCCAAATGGTATTGACCTGGATAAAGGAAACAGACGCATATTCTGGGTTGATGAAGGCTTGGACAGAGTAGAATCCATCGATTACAATGGTGGTAACAGGACATAACTTTTCCAATATAATGGTTTACATCCTTTTGGAGTTGCTTTGGTTCCACCTTTCCTGTTTTTCACCAACTGGAATACGAGTAGAGAGATTGATAAACTGGACGCCCTGACTGGAGAGGTACTTCGCAGCTATAGCATCAATGGCGGACAGCCTATGGGCGTCGTGGTATATGACGGCTTCCGGCAACCTCCGGGTAAGAAATGGTTTTGCAAGTGCGAAGCTCTCATAGTTTATGGTGTTTATTAAGTCCAAGAAGGAATTTCACCCTAAGTTAAATATTCAGAAAGCCTCGATTCGTGCCAATTCTGAAAGAGTCGCTGTTTGGGATTAAATTTACACAACACTGTTATTCTGATTACTGTGTGTGTTTCTCATACAATTATATGTATTTACCCCCTGTTCATTCGCCTTTGACTTCATAATGACGTTAAGCAAACTTCAAGACAACATCCTGGATGGTTTCAAGCTATTCACTTTTCAGTTATTCACTTTTCACTATTCACTTTTCAGTTATTCACTTTTCACTATTCACTTTTCAGTTATTCACTTTTCACTATTCACTTTTCCCGCAATGTTTTCATACTTTTAGTTAATTTGGCAGAAACAGTTCACATACAACAATTCAAGTTCCCCTCGTTAGAACTTGAACAAAAGTTTTTCACTTCATACACATCTTTAATCAACATGATAAAGAAAATATGTGAGACACATTATGGGTTTTAGATGTGCACTTATTTCGGGTACCTGATATCTATTTTATAATTTCATTTGGCCCTCATTTGTATTCGCTAACAAGTTATCAAATTTTCTCAAAACCTTCTTTGTCTTTTTAAGCTTCAAGTCCATGTTCCTTAAGCAATGGTGGCTGTAGCCATTTTTGTGTCCCGAAAAACTCTACTTATGAGTGCGTGTGTCCAACAGGCTTGGCAGTGAAACAGAATGGAAAGACATGTGAAGAAAGTAAGTTTTTTTTGTCTTATTCGGAACTTTCGATCACAATCCCTTTACTTGTCAGAGAGGTAACTAAAGAATTTTTTTT